TAGGCCTAGGAATACTATTTTTATCCGAACCCTACGATGCGGGGAAAAATGATATGCAAATTGGTGAAACATAAGTTAACAGCTCCACAACTTTGATACTCTCACTAATCTTATCATAAGGTACCAAAAATTACTGCTGAATTGTAACGAATGTGAGCTTTTCAGCATCCTCACACGAAAAAAGTGTCTAAGGAGACAAAATTTATTTTTACCTATGAATTTACTACTTGAAACTGCTACTACTGAAGGAAACGAGAAGGCAAAGACGAAGGAGGGAATGTTTATCATTAACATAAGGTACAGTAGTCGTTAAATATGGTACACCTCTCCTGCTTCTCTCATGATATGCTCTTAATACCCCCGCGTTGTCTCTTGTGTTTTCCTGGCCAGAATCCTTACCCATTGCTGGCAATTCCCTATAATTTCTGGCGCTGTCTCAATATATATCACTTATATCCATTCTTATAAGCAACGCCCACTACACTACTACTACTTAAGACCTGTGAAAGTGTCTTCCTGTACGGTGACACATTTTACCATACAAGCAAAATTAGGAAGATATTTTCGATGAGCACTTAGGACAAAACAACATGAACTTGGTTGCCCATCAGTGATCCATCAATTTACCGAATCCAGTATTGTAGTAGGTCAAACGCAGTCCGAATAGCTCATTGGTAACGTCTTCGGTTTCAGTACCGCATGACACGGATTCGAATCTCAGGAGGGATATCATTTCTGTCGAGGTTGCAGATACCCCTTGCTGATGAGTGCTAGAAAGTACGAAAACTAGTTCAGGCAGGACCTCCTTCCCGATTGCCTGCATCCAACTAAAATCTATAACAGTGTATAGCCATGGTGAGTCTCCCAGCTTTCTGGTCACATTGCATGTAGGACTAGACAACATGAAGGTGGTTACCCTCTAGTGGCTAATCAATATACACTTTCTGGGTATCAAAGACAACTAAGCTGACAAACTTATAAAGAAAACATCAAGGGAATAAGAGTGAATGCAAAAATACTTTTATGCATTTTATATGTAGACATTGCAGAAACGTCATTGTACTGAGTGATTATAACAGTTCTTTGTTAATGAAATCACTCTGAAGGTAAACATTATCAGAAAAAATTTAACTGAGGTGTTTTCACTAAAAGCTTTACTACTTCAGTGGATAAATTTACAATCATGAAAATCTTGTATTCAGATTGTTTTTTTGACTGAACAGTACAATGATATCAAACGGTTAATTTTAGAGAATAAAATGCATAATTCAACAATATTCCCGTTTAAATACAAGAACCAAGGTGCACTGGTGAACCATTTGTCTGCGTAGTGCATTCATTTGATAGAATCAACCAAAATGTCAACCACTTATCATCGATTTGAAGTCTTGATTCCGTATTTCTAGTTCCACTCTCACTCCTCCCCCTCTCCAAACTTTCAAAGATGTGACAATTTCAGGTAAAGGATAAACACATAAAATCCAAGTGAGCTAAGATTTCCAAACCTTTATACCGAGATAAACACACCAAATATATGTTGCCAACAGTTATATTCCCAATTCATTGAATCCTTAAACTTTATCTTAAACTTTTGTTTCAATACAGAAAAATGTACGGTTCATACTACTTTCAATTCCCTTATGTGAACAGAGAGAAGTAAACTTCATACTTCAATTACCAGAGATACCATTAGACTTTATATAAGAGTGAAAGTTCGATACAGTGGCAGAATATAATTCAATTTTAGTTGATTTATCAGATGTATCAAACAATGAGACCTTATTATTTACTGAATAATGTTTCGAACACAACTTATTGTCCATATTCATATCAAGATATCTCCACAACTTCAAGACATGACTCACATAGTTCTAGTTTTCTCGCCTTCTCTGTGATATGTGTAGTAGGATTTATCATATATCCAGAACAGATGCTGGGTCATCCCTGTTGCATGTATTTGGTATTGATTTGATAAACAAAAATTCGGTTATCAGTCTCTTTCTCCACTCCATTAGGTTACTTTAAGGGATTTTTTTCTCTGTTGCATTCTACTGTGTGGTTGTGTGTAACTTTATGCTAAGCTGTAGTCAAGCTTTTTTTAGATACCCCATCTTACTACAGTCTATCAGTTTTAATTTATCTTTGTATGGTAATGCTGCAGGAGCTTATAATTCTGTCTTCAAAGTATTGTCATTATTACTACTATCAATAATGTTATTACCATTATTACTATTAACACCTGTGTCACTACCATTAGTCATATTTTTCTTACAACTTCTAATCTAGGAGGGGGTGATTATTGACGCGTAAGGTGTCTCTAATGCTTCTCATTTCTTGTCTGAGGTCTTCCATCTTACTGGTAAGTTTCTTACCGGTTACTCGAACATTTTACTAGGAATCTGAAAAAAGCTCAGCCGTAACTATACACACAACCACACAGTAGAATGCAACAGAGAAAAAATCCCTTAAAGTAACCTAATGGAGTGGAGAAAGAGACTGATAACCGAATTTTTGTTTATCAAATCAATACCAAATACATGCAACAGGGATGACCCAGCATCTGTTCTGGATATATGATAAATCCTACTACACATATCACAGAGAAGGCGAGAAAACTAGAACTATGTGAGTCATGTCTTGAAGTTGTGGAGATATCTTGATATGAATATGGACAATAAGTTGTGTTCGAAACATTATTCAGTAAATAATAAGGTCTCATTGTTTGATACATCTAATAAATCAACTAAAGCGACATTGTATTTTATGTAAAAAGATAGCATGTCAAGTCATACAAATTCTGGTCTTTTCTAAGCCCAAAAAATGGCAACTTCATTCAGTAACACTTGTCCACCTACTAATCGTTACATACCGCAATTTAAAAGTTTGCACTAAGTACCGAAAAATGTGAAGGCTTGTCTTCCTTTGTGCAATTTAAAGGCAGGTTACACATACAGTACTTCAAATAACATTTTCAATACTTCTGGGAGAACTCCACAAAATGAATGGCATAGTTAGCTCCAGAAATATATATTAGGGACGTGGTCTGTCAGAAAATACGTTTGTGCCTTCAAAAAATGTCGAAATGATATGAGTCGACATTTAAAATGCTTATAATCACAACCTATTTACCAACAGTATGCCGCCATAGAAAGAACATGAATTTAAACTGCACAGTAAAACTGTAGGTGAATTAGAACGGCAAGAGGCACTTGTTTTAAACAAATGTACTTTAAGTTTAAACTTTCTGTGAAACTGATCGTTTCTAATTCCTTCCACAATAAACTTCCCGGCCAGTTTTGTAGTCACAGAATGGACAATGCCCTTCCAGGCTGGTTTACATAAAGCAATTTACTAGAAAAAAATTAAAACAGCTTAGTCTATGAAGGGGTTTATGTCTAAATACAAACAGAAGATACTAGCTACAAGTGTCCGAAAGCCTATCAGGTGAAAAAAATTTTAAACACTGGTTCAAAGGAGTCTCGGACACTTCAAAGTTCTTTATGCGAATATACACTTAAAAGAGTTTCAAACCAGCAGACCCTCAAATAACCCGCACAATATGCATAGTCAGTTCTCCAAACAAAAAATGTCCTTCAGTTGGGCCTTCATCCATGTAACAATTACCTTTTCAGATGTGATTTCCAAACAGACGATCAAGAAAAAGTTTCTGCTTTACAATGTTGACATCTATTTCATACAGGTTGTAAATTTTCGCCCAGGTCCAGTAGTTTAATTAAAAAGGCTGATGATGCAACCTTCGACCAAACAACAACAATCTAATAAGCTGTAATGTTGACATTTTAACTCCTGTTCTGCAAAATAAAAACTAGCAGAAAACCTAAGACAAACTGCAGTGTTAAGATCTTAAACACACTCTTCATTAAGTCATCATGATTTAAGCCTCAAAGTTGAAAGAAATTCTATTTCCAAATTGTTTGAACAAGGCATGTATCATTCAAAAAATAATATTAAGACAGCCACTCAAAGCTAATCAATTTTTCTTAAAATGAGTCTAAATATGTTGTGACAAGAAGTGAAAACTTGATGTATAGCCTAGTAATAGTATTAATCAAAGCTGCCTGCTTCTAGGTTTGACAAAAGTTGTAGAACCATTGAAAACCTAAAAGCTCCAGACAGCTGGTTCGTCTTAGTATGGAGCTTCTCAAAAGTGCTCATCCATTACTCCACTAGAGATGTAACTTAAGACCTTCAGGTTTCACAACTCAACAGCAACGTCCTCATCTCGAAACCTTAAGGTCCTGAATTCCAACTCTAGCAAGGTACTTGCTTCGTACTCCTGAGAAGTCTTATACTACGACGAAGCATCCGTCTAGTGATCCTAGGTTTTTAATGGTTCTTGAAGTGATGTCAGTCAGCGATGAGTACCGACTTGAAATCAATTGATCATCCCAAACCTCCAGGCTACCTACTTTCCATTTCAACACAAGGAAACAGTGTAGGTTAAAACAGAATAAATTCTAAAACGATGGGAATAAAAGCAGTCAAATGTGGTTCACATTCACCCAAATGTTGCTTCATTACAGAGGTCGTTTAACGGAAGCTTAAATGATAAAACACTGTTTAGAAAGTTAAACGTCACGAACACGAAAGTGTTGTCTTCAAAATTCTGAATGGGGATTTGCATGTCTTTGGTGTTTTTAGGTAGAAAGGTTCTACTAATAGCTATAAACAAATAAAATTGTCGAACGATCCTGTGAAACAGTAATGTCATATTATTTCATCTTCGAAACAGACTGAACTCTACTAATTATACTTGCAAAGACGTAGCAAGTACTAGTGACTCAGAAGCTGTAAGCACTGCCGACTGCACTAAGTTATCCAAGCTTGCAAAATAAACTGTCAAAACTCATCAGTTCTGTCTAGTAATCTTAAAACGTATGTTATTTATGCTATAAAACTTCATAAGTCCGTTGCATATCGTGGGTCTATTCACATAACCAATGAGACTAGTGAAACCGTTACAAAATATATTTACTCACCCGTTCTGATTGTATTGTTGGCAAGTGTGCCTTATTAAATGTCCTTCCACCGTCAGTCGATACACTCAGCTGCACTGTTTGGTTCTCTGAATCAGCGTAATGTGAAGCGTAGAGAAAGTGGCCGAGTTTTATTGTTTCATAATCCTCCACCAATTCTGGATCGAAAGATATGCTGTTTCTGTCATGTGGTTTCGGTATGTCAACTCTAACTCCACGAGGTGCCCATACTCGAATAACGTCCTTGAGGAGCTCGGACCAAGTCAGTCCAAAGTCTGAAGATTTGGCTAATATATGCCTGTCAGTTCCATCTATTTTAAAATGAGATAACTCGCTTCATCGATATGTTTACTGATGTCAAAAACTTTCTATGAAGCTACAGCAGAGTATAAAGAAATTCCTTGAACAAATTTTCAGTGTTTTTAGACAGTTTAAACCCTTAGCCATTCGCTTCACAAAACAAAATTAGCCTTACATTAGTGAAATCCACCTAAAACTTTATGTTTGCTTCCCAAGCTGCAAGGCATTTCATTTCAGTAGATGACTACGTTCAATGAGACCGAGAATTTAAACGACCACCTGGGTTACAGGAAACCAGCCGTTGTCAAGCCCTGTTGTTAAGACGATCTACAAGTTCCAGTCTTAGGTGACAGAAGGTGCCACATACACACGACCTTAGGCAGTATTGATAATAACTTTGCTCACGAATGAGAAACTGAAAAAGTTGTCAGGATCGTAGTGGAAACCAATGTTAGTTGTAAGTGGATGATAACAAGATATTGATAATCTGAATGAAGTCAAGCACACCACATGTTACTATTTTATGTTAATAATGCAAATTATTTGTGCTTCAGTGTAAATTCCACAATCTTAATAAGCTAGTCAGAATACCTCCCACCAACGGCCTTCTGGTAAAAACGGAATCAAAGTGTCTACTCAATTCAAAGTATTCGCCTACACCCAATTAAATATTTCTGATGTTCCGTATAATTAGATCCATTTGTCCCATCAAAGAGCATGACTGAAAATGTTTTATCTTTCTGGCGATACAAAATGGCTGGATACAAGATCAGTATGAATCTTAAATGCAACGAATGAAGAATTGAAAAAACCAGGCGTAGCACAAAAAACTAAATTTTACAACAAAAAGCATGATAAGATTTGTACACTGGATAAACATTCTTGTCCATGTCTGAAAATAAGACAGCCATCAAAATGCACAACTGTATAAGCTTTTCCGAATGGCCTGTTAGCTGATCACATCTATAAAAAATATCCACTACAACGTCTATACAAATGAGGTGCAACATACAAAACTAGCTATATAAGACCTCATTACGTGCACTGAGCACATTTTATGTGAAAAAACACAATCACCGCCGTATTTTCAACTCCAAACACCTGATGTTAACGCTTTTAGCTCGAGGTAATCAAGTCTGCAAGCTATGGACTACAAACATTTGAACCATCGACTATCACCAGTTAGAAAAACATACATGATGTATTGGGCCAAGTGGAAGCTACCATATTTTCACGAGCTAAAATAGGAGTAGGAGATCAATACTGAACTATTATACACCTAATAGCGACCTGTTTGCAAATGGTTTGCCGTCTCATATTGGCCTCTTCAGTTTCAAAACATGCTGTTTTAAAAAAATTATTATTTTCTTTGCGATGATAGCAATCTACCTACACGCGGTTGCAGGGATGTGACAGCTTATAATTTATTTTCTGATAACTTTTCTCCCTAAAAGCGTTTGAGGAGAACGGCAAAGTGAAGAGTCGCGCTTCTGTGTACGATTCCAGCATCTCTCTGTGGCGCATTCAGAAGTTTGCTTGAGGGTTAAAACCTTTGGAAATAATAATGCGTAACTTTAGAGCACCGATACTTTTGGAAATAAGACCTCACTTATCTAAAAACATCTATCAAGCTCGACAATAATCAGGGTGGATGCCCTTTTCTTGCAGTAGGCACGCAATTAAAACTTGGTACAAGTACTTTTCTCTAAAAAATTGAGTAAAAGAAGACCAACCGGTGGATACCGTTACCCCAACAATTTCGCTTTCTCTGTTTAATAAAATCGTAGCCGTTTTGGTAAAAGGTGTCGAAAAGTAGCTTACTTTTGTGCAACTGTGTCTGATAGAGGATATATATAGCTTCTCCAGGATCTGACTCATAAATAGACCTACATTAAATAAGATAAAATTTCATATTCAGCAAACCAAAAGTAATCTACAACATTCTCATGAATGCTTCGCCACGTTTTTCCATTGTCCAGTGAAAGATACAAAATCTGCGCGAAAAGATATTAGACATTCTGGCTTTACATACAGAAGATTTTTCTTCTAGTGTCAAAACCCAAGGTGAAAGTCTTTCACGTGGATAAAAACGCAACTGGCCACTTAAAACAAAGGGTATACTGGAACTTTCCCAAGTTGAACCCCCATCCTCAGTAACGAATATCATAGATTTGCTCATGTTTTCCACGTCATAACATATAACAAATAGCTGAGCTGTTCCTGAAAGATAGTTCCAAACTAACTTACTTCCTTGGAATCCCTCTGGTTCTGATGGCGCTGCAAGCCGTTTTCACGCCGGATATATATATTCTCACCTAACTCCTTAGTGATTTTCGTGAATGTTTTGCCGTTGTTGTCACTACATCTCGTTAAAACAGTTTCTTCTTACCTACGATAGATGTCAGAAGTTAGACCAGGACCGGATTCCCCTTCAGTCATCGTCACTAATATCAAAACCTGATCATAAAAACTAACTGAAGCAGAACTCACTCCACTGTTTTCACCTGCCCATGTCAACTGAATCGTTTCTTTTGTGTCGTTCACGAAGTAGAACTTTAGAAATATATTTCAAATAGAACTCACTATTTCCAAGGCTTTTCCATCTTTAATGATAGGATCAAATGTTTTCTGCTGCAAGTCGCAAACATTAGTCGTGGAATTCACACCAATTAGGTAAATACTGGATATTAAAACGACGATTAGTTTGTAAAGTATAATCATATTGAATAACATAACATCATCTGAATGTGTGCCATAGTCAAGGTTGTTGGTTTCAATATCTAATACCTGTTTCATGAGCTTGAGTAAACCAGTCGATTTCTTTATGCTCGTTTCTAGATCCTGCAGAACGGTTGCAGGTCTTTAGTAGATTCTGATACAGTAGATTCGTCGACCTGGCCGCTATAGCTGTGGTAAACCTGCTAGTAGTGCATTCAAGTCCCCGCAGACTCGAAGAGCAAAGAAGTGTGGAGGCATATGAGTTTTTGACCTTAAGCGGACAACTCTCTTTGGGCTTCCATGAGGGTCAACACAGTAGCCACTCAGCAATATTCTTCTGCTTGGGTGACTTTGGCTATCTAATATTTTTTAAGCCGTTGTCTAATCATCTCGCAATCTTCGGCAGCTAAGGTTGTACAGGCCTAGGTCTTCTAGTCTATCCTAGTATGGTTTTTGGTACATCCTTACAACACGTTCCATGGATCGCATCTGAACTTTCTCCAAGAGTTTCAAGTGCCTATGGGCAAGGACGAATGGTAGCAGAATTGGTCTAGATGAAAGGATTTTAGCTTTATTCAGTTTTCTGTGTTGAAATGGTCTAAAATTATTGATAACGGAAAAAGCTATCCTTTGTTCAACCAGTTGCCGTATCCAAAAGAAGTGAACTCACGGTTTGTCCTTGTAGTTTTTGATCTATCGAACGAATGAAATTCAGATCACTCCCAGCACAGAGACCAAAATCGAACCAGGAACCTAGTTTCAGATCTAACCATCGTTTGAAGAACTCTCATAAAGGGCTTGAACCACCCCCATGGCTAGCATGTTCTGTGGCCAAATCAGTACTAAGGAGTTAGAGTTGCACCTAAAGTCACTCCTACAGTGTTCGAGTTCCAAATTTTTATTTCCCTCCCTCAGATTTCTTTCGTTGTTTCCTAACACATTCAAATCAAACCACCATCCGAGGACATTTGGACACTTAGTAGTCGACATTACAGGGTTTGCAACATGCTCCTTCGGAGACTGTAGATCAGCGTCCTAAATGTATTTTCCTACTTTTTATATGAGCTGGAGAGTACATCTCATACCTGGAAAAAGGTCAGTTCTGGAAGCTGAGAGTCGTTTCCTACTAATTACTGTTCAATCACGGGTATCTGGCCTGCATAAAGATCATCGATTGCTACTGTTCATATCCCCATTGCACGCGATAAGGTTGAATCTGTACTCTCCTTTTAGACGTGGTTCTTGACCGTTTCATTTTGCCAATTTCTTGTTGTCTGACCACTTATTACTATATATTTATAGTAATATTTCAATCTATCCTATATTTTTGGTTGATGGCTCCGCTATTCTCCTCACACATTGTGTTACAGAAGTTTCGGTATGCTGCCTAGAGCCGTTTGCCGCTTTCTATTCCGACACTAAGTTTCGATCTTAACGTTCTCTTAAATGGGAAGATCTGGGGCTAAAAGTTCTAAAATTGACTGCTCTGATGAGAAAAAGCAAAGACTCAATCATTCCAGCGCTCTTTCATGTGGCAGAAGCATTAATATTCCGTGTAACTCAGATCTCGATGAACTAGCATGCCCCACAACTTTCATTAGAACTGAAGACATCACATCGATCATGAGTAACAGTATTGATGACCACAGGGGGGAAATAGATTGTATTCAGACCACGATGGAAGAGATCCGGAGAATCGTTGAGGATTTCCATCCATTAACACATCATCTTGGAAAGCATGAAAATTTATTTGAAGACCACGCAGAGGAAGTAGAAAACTTAGCGGACTGTTTGGCAATGGAGGTAATAAAGAGACTATCGTCTTCTCGACAGCTCATCGTTTATAACATACCTGATAACCCACCCTTGGATGTAGTTAAGACAAAGGTATTCAACTCAAGCGGTATGACAGGAATGCACTGTGACTGAAAGTGCCTTCGTAAAAAGTCAACACAATCCAGTTGCCTCAAGATTTCCCAGTTCGCCACTTCATTTGGTGCCAAAAGATTTTTACTAAGCCACAAGACCACATAAGGCTACATGGCAACTTCAAAAATATCGCTACTGCACAAGACAAAACCGCGTACCAACGTGGAAAGCAAAGAAGAAGTATTCTGGCCAGTTCATCACCTTTGGGCATAGAGGCCGATGTGTGCACGAACAGAAAGTGTTGACACGACCAGTAATTCTGTTGAAAGTACCTCCTCCCCGTTACAACGGCCTCGAACAAATCTAGTTACAAGTGAACCTGATCTCCCAGTTGCCCGTAAAAGGAAAACTATTGGTGCCGACAGCTTGGGTCACCATGAATAGGAACCCTTTGGGTGACAGAAAACTCATAAGCGCAGGCAAAACCCCACCGTATAAAGCTAAAACGTTCTTGAAGAAGGACAATTTTAGGAGCGCGTTGTCTAATGACGGAGAGGAATACTTCATAGCTAAGACACTGCCAATATACAAACCCAGAAGGCAGGTTTTCCGCTGAAATCGTTCCTTCAGAGATGAATAGCACGACGACTCGAGGTTGCATCGCACGAGACACTCCTTCGGACCACGGTTGTTTGATCACAAGGGTCATAACGTGGTCCTGGGTGGCGTGCCGGGCACTCCAGCGTCCTACACATCACAAACGCCAATCCTCTGTTCAGCTGTGCATCCAAATAATCCTAGTAAAAACTCCGGGGACAGATGTGTGCCTCCTGCCGGAAATTTCTCCCCTAACGAGCCCCACCAAATTTTTTTCCGATCCTGCAAAATATGTACGCCCATGGTGTTTAGGATCGATCGAACCCCGTTGACATAAGGCTGGAACCAATTTTCTCGACTTGCACCGGTCATAAGCTATGCCTTACCCCAACGGTAAAGAAGATACGCAAGCCAGCAACCTATAACTGCCATGAGAAACTAGGTAATCACACACTCGCGAGAGACGGAAACTCACTAGTTACACTGGCATACCCCACTATTCAGTTCTGTCACGTCCAAAACACACGTAGTGCATCATCTAGCTAACTAAGTACTGGAAACTCCTCTACTCACCGAGGCTTAAGAGGCGTAGTGAGTCATTTTGCAAGCCAGAATAACCTTTTTACGCTTCCACCTACTGATGCCCGCTCGTTGCTCAGGAAAATATCCGACATAAGAACAATAATTTTACCGACCGAATCCACAGTATTACTTGTTACTGAATCATGGTGGACTGGCTCAACCCTAAACATGAACCCGTGTATGGATGGTTATACTCTTTATCGCAATAGTTGTGATCACAAGCGTGATGGGGGCTACTTGGTCTGTGTGTAGCCTCGCTACCTCAAATAAGACTGAAGGTGATATCTTAAGTGATCTGGCGGACTCGCTTTGGGTCATCATGAACGGTACTAATCAAAAATCTTCGTAGGCTGTGTGTACAGAGCGTCATATCAACAAAAAATGATGAAGTGATGGCCAGATCATTTGCCCACGCTGGATCCCTCACTGTCGACTTGATGCTGACCGCAGGCGGCTTTGAATTACTTGGGGTTAACTGGGAGGCCGGTCACGGCCCACAACTATCTGATAAAATACTTGGTGTCATAGATATCCATTGTTAGGGGCAATACGTCCAGCAACCCACGCGTGGAAATAGTATACCGGACGTAGTCTTCTGCTGTGACATCACAACCGCCACTACCTACGTTAGTAGCCAATTCTCTAACGGTGACCATAGGATGCTGTTCTGTTGCCCACCAAATCTTCCTCCCAATGAGAAAAACAAGCGATCTCCAAATTACAGTCGGCATCTGAGTTACAAGAATAAAGAAGTACTCATCGAGCTCTTCAGGTGCCCCCCATGGGATGCCCACTTTATCACAGCCTCATTTACAGACACACTCTTACTTTTCTACAGAAATACAAAGTGTCTAGGCAATGTTGCTCCTGTGAAAACGGTTAAGGTTCGTAAGGAGCCAGACACACACATACCCAAAATATTCCGCAGTAGATTTAGGAAGTTATCATCACGATACCACCCGTTGAAAGACTCACTGAATTCAATTTATGAGGTTTACGAATCTATTAAGACGTTACGTGCGGGACGCGCAGTAAACAAAGAGGTCGTTTCTCCCAAAGGTGGTTCTAGAAAACACAAGTTGACATCTCTTTTGGATAACCATTTGCAGGCATCGAGGGAAGTAGCCTATCCACTACATAATGGGGGACGGGTATAACAGGAATAATGATAATAATAATATTTACTCCTGACTACGCGGTCACATACCGTTTTTACGGGCATGAATAAGTTTCTATACAACTTACATGTCTTCGTGAAGGGTAATATCAATCCCCACCCGTTGTCACTAGAAGATATGAGTGCTGCACGTTCATATAATGAAACATCTCAGCTGAATAAGTATGCAGAAAATGCACAAGTTGGACAGGTGGGAGTGTTGTCTTTGCATTAACAAAAGGCCAGGTTTGTATCTCGACACTACATGTATTATCCGGGGAAAATAGGGCGTGAAGCTGATACTTCCATCGTAACGGTCTGTACCTTTTGTTTGAGATGATGATAAAATGTTTATTGTACTCCACTGATGATTCTAGAACTGTATAATTCGTGCATGTTAATACCACTCCACATCAGAGGTGCCTAATATTGATGAATATCATGACTGAGAGCTTAACATCTTCCCTTTTCTAACTCCGGCATCCAGAAGCAATAGACTTGTCTAGATGCGCCAAGTGGATTTCCAGGACATCTTGTCCACCGCTTTCACGGTTCCTGAAAGCCTTGCGTCCCGCAGGTGTTGGACTTTTCTGGTCACTTTTATAGTGAGCAAATCCTAGATTTGGGTAATTATGAAGTTGTAGTCCAGTGAACACTTTTTATTCTGTTCGTTGTAGTTAGGCACCGTGAAGGCAGTAAAGCTGGTTACCCCCCATGAAGGTACCGCACCGTTATCTATGGTAGCATGAATGTATCGGACAGAATTCGAGTAGAGAACATTCAACGGAACTTTACTCGGCGCCTACTAATA